ATGTCTAAAACCCTTACCCCAGGGCATATGGCACTACCGAGAAGGGTTCACAGTGAAGCATCTCTTATTGAGGTCAAAAAGATGCCAAGGGATGATGTTTGTAGGCCAGAAAAACCTGTGGTCTCCTGTGTGTGGTTGTAGACATATGAAAGCAAAGGCCAAAGCCTCAACAAATTTCTACATGGCATGTACACATGACAGCCGCATTACTAGGAAGCAGCCCTATAGAAAGACATGAGTACATGTGCATAGAGAAAGCCCCATTTGCATTGTAATGACAAGTTTTAGACTTGCTCTTAAAGGGAGAACTGAAATCCACATTCCAAGATCATGGTTCTAGTATTTAGGCCAACTTTGACAAGCCAATCATGAGCCCCTGCATAAGACTGTGAGCCACAGATCTTTGTTAGGTCGGTTTGAGAAGACAGTTCTGGATCATGGCTGCTAGTTCAGGTGGAGTGCCCTTATAGTCACTTATTTTGACCCATTGCTATCAATCCACTTCTAGATATTCTATTTTTGGTATTAGAAATGTTTTTGTGAATTTTAGAAAAAAATTTAGAATTTTTAAAATTTATTTCTGTTGTAAAATCTTTGAAAAGGGTTTCTTTGAAATTTTCAGAATAAGGAAGGGCACATGTGGGGCCCTTGGATCCAACCCCACATGTGTGCCACCCCCACATGGGTGGGACAAGTGGAGTAGCATGCACCACTTATTTTTAAGTGGTAGTTTTTTTTAATTAAAAATAGTTACGTCAAAATAATCTTTTAAAAGAAAAGATTGTGTTCTAACTTTGTTGGAGCTTGTTTTGTCTAAATAAAAGTTATCTTTGACTTTTTGCAAATTTTGAAAAAGATAATAGAAATTTCTAGATTGGATATAATCCTATTTAAATTAGAAGTTGGACTTGAGTCATATTATAAAGGGATCATCCCAAAATCATGATGGTTGATTTGTGGGATGGATGGCTCAGATTTGTTCTCTCTCACCCTAGTACCCCACAGATTTCCTAAGGTCCTATTGATCAAGTTGTGTTATTGGATAGGCATTACTTAACGAAAGAATTCTAATCCAAATAGGAGAAGGAATTATTTCTATTTAAACATCATTGAGCCCCTGTCTCTCAATACACATATTTCTCTCACCAAATATCTCTCATTAAAATTCATTTTTCTCTCTCCTCCCTTCCAAAAAGGGGCATGCCATGCAAAATTTGATAAGACAAGGGTGGTACATTGAAACTCCAATTAGGGATTTTTTGTTAGGAGAAGAAAAAGGGGTAAACTCAGTCATAGGAGGATTTTATACCTTCAAGCTCAGCCCTAATTTGATCCTATAGGGTTCCTACAAACCCAACACAGGTTTGTATGCTCTTTAAAACCCTAAAAGGAAAGGTATTGCCTAAAAAGCCCCTCATCTCTGAAATTCCAGCAAAGACCAAAAGGATAAAAGAGTGTCATCGGTTAGGGAATCGGGTGTGCGGTGCATCAAGTCCTGTGGGGGTAGCCCTAGGCATGATCAAGTAAGTCTTCCAACTCTTTTTATTTATTTCTCAATCATATTTGTGTATTTTCTGTGATTTTCCAGGAACCTATATTGTACTTAAATTAATGGTAGAAGACTGAATATTGTTCCTAGGTTGAGTTGATTTGCTTTGGCAGTAAGAGGAAAGGTCCTTGGATATATTTAGGGTCTTATTTCTTAATTATAGCACTGTTTTGTGGCCCATGTAAGTGGATTTCAGCATATTAATAAAATAAAAAGCAAATTTTTTTAATTTATTACCTTGAGTTCCACATAGCCCTAACTAGCGGATGAAAAATCTCATGATGGGCCAAGTATTTTTGAAATTTTGGAATAAATATTATTTAATATTATTATACCATAAAATACAAACATTCTTACCGAATTGAGTTTTAGCCTCTTCATGGTATAGATGAAAACTAGACAGCGTCATATCTTTCTTTCATTAAATATAACCATGTCATTCAAGAATAGTCATCCGCAAAGAAAGTATTTGTGACCAGATAGAGTTTGAATTCTAGTAGGACCCCCGTTTATTGACTCTTGGATGAAAGAATACTCTATGATGCTTACCGAACTCACAAGCTTCATACTCTAATGTTGACACAGACTCCAAAGATGGACCTAACAACTTGAAAATCTTAATAGATGATCCAACTGACAATGCCATTCAAGAGGAGAAAAACTCGAATGAAGAGCAACACCAATAAGATTACAATATAGATAGTAAAATCCATAAGACTCACGACCGCCACCAATCGTCATCTTCGTCTTTAGATCCTTAAAAACACAATAGGAAGGATAGAATGTTATTAAATACTGAAGTGATTTTGTTAATTTATTAATTAAAATAAGCTTAAAGGCTTTGGTGCATAAAGGACAAAGAACAATGAAAGAGAAGAAGTAGGTTGAACTATGTCTTTCCCAAGCACATTTGATAGTGACCCATCAGGTCATGTAACAGATGCAGTGGGAACTGATTGATCAAGAAAAGAAAACATAGATGACTCACCAATCATATGATTAGAGGCATCTGAGCCAATGACCACAGAGGTCATCTCTGTGACACAAGGTTGCAAAAGTTCCTATATTTGCAAGAGTAGCAGTGGTTGTAGAGGGATCAGTGGCAGGCTACTGATTATTTTTATAAGTTTATTGCATTCCTAAGGTGAGAGCAAAACGGAATCGCCAATAGAATTGAGAACCTCACAATGACCACTGGAGCCAATAGGATGGACATCATCACTCTCAGATACATAAGTTACCTGATTAGCCCAAGCAGGCTTACCAAACTTATCCCAACACTTATCAACCATGTGATTAGTCCGTCCACAGTAAGTGTATTTCCTGTTACCATGGCCTGTACCACGACCTTCCCCTGAATCACGACCACGTCCTCTATTACCACCACCATGACCTCTGCCCCCATCACCTCTACGCATAAATGAGGTTAAGGTTGCCCTTCCATTAACACTAGAGGCAGATGAAGGTATAGATATGGCAACCCATTGATGAGGAGTATATATTATTAAGAGTCAGGAGTTCATTACTAGCTAAGATCTGTCCAAAACTGGATTGGTATTCAGAATTAAGGCCAGACAAGAATTTCGCGACTCGAAATTATTCGAGATGTTTCTTTAGTAGCTCAATATCATTTGACCGGGGTTGATACATGTTCAACGCTTCCCACATACCCCAAAGAGAACTGTAATTCTCACTAATACTTTTGTAACCTTGCGATAAACAAAAAATATTCTCATAAAGTTGATAAATTCGAGAATATCAAAAGAGTACACATCATGTACAACCTCACAAACTTTTTTAGCAGTATTAAGAAACATCACATTAGCACTCTGGAACGATTCCATAACCAGGCCACAATATGATAATTCTTCGTAACCCATTCTTCATTCCTGGTATCTGATTCTTTGGGCCTATTTTCAGACAAAAACTTCATCTTACCCTTGGCACCAAGAAACACTTTTATTGACTGAGATGTGAGGTAATGAACCCATTTAACACACAGGTAACTAGAATTCCAATCTGTAATTGGTACTGGAAATTCCAGGCTTACTTTCACGAGCCATGACTAAGATGAAGACAAATAAGGAGAATATGCCATACTATAGCAGGCCAAATACTCCTGGAAACCTTAAATCACTCTATTGAATCTTATAAACCCAATAGCATAAACAGCAGGTTATGGGGAGAAATACTAATTATTTGGATGTAGACAGGCACATCTCCCCGCTAGAACTCTTGCACAAACTTCCACAGCCTTTCTATAGCATCAGCCACAAACTTTGACATATGTCAATCACTATTCCTCTCAAATTTCATGTCCATGTGAGGAAACATTAGCAGTCGTAACAGAAAATACAGATAACCATATTGGCTCTACACACAAAAGAGAAGAAAAATGAAGTGCCCCTTGGTGAACTCATAACAGGCAGAATTAGTCCCCCCCCCGTTTTTGTTTTATTTCCTTTTAATTAAAAAAGACAAAAAGGAGAATAATTCATATCTATGGATCCGATTGCCCCGATAACACGTTAGAAATATAATACTAAACGGAAAGAATAGAGAGATGAGAGGAAGAAGTGAGAAAGAAGTCCTGGAGAGACAGAAAGATGGAGAGACAAGGTAACAAGATGAAGAGAGGTTGCTGGGGGCAGTCCTATTAGGGTTTCATAGCCTCCACGCCCCTCTCTATCATATTTATAAAGAGATCTAATGTACAAATTGCAGCAATACCCTTATTTACTACAATACGATCATTAAGTATAAAAAAAATACAAGAATGCCCTGTTGGCCCACAAACAAGACAAATAAAAAACCTAATCTTCAACACAGTTCAAGTGCATCCATCTCCAATTGTCATGTCCTTGTAATGCATCATTTTTATCAGAAACTTAGAATAAAAATAAGACTTTGAAGATCACTCAAATAAGACTACGAAGATCACTCACCATACATCTATCTGAGGCTCAAGATAAGCATGTTTTCCTTTAGGTTAAAGAGAGATATTAGAATAGAGAGAGATTGGCATCCCAAATTTTTGCCAACCCCAAATAGTTGGGAAAAGGCTCTCATGATGATGATCGGCATTCCAAATTTTTAGGCCTTAGGTGGAACACAATTTGGACAAGGGGATGGTCTTATGATTCGAAATTGCTCTACTTCAAAACAGAAGATGACTTATGCTAATGAAAATTCAAGAAGATAGCATCCAGCACATCACAGGATCATTATGACAAACAAATGTGCATCACATGTGCCTATAACCAGCAAAAAACTAAAATGGCTTTATATATTTTATATACAAACAACACTTATCAGAAATCAAACACACTAGAAGTTAAAGAACCAAACCAAAACTAAGCCATGAAATAGAAAATGTTGTGCATACCGCATTATATATGGCCCTTAGAACCAAACCAAAACTAAGCCATGAAATAGAAAACGTTGTGCATACCGCATTATATATAGCCCTTAGCTTTGGGAGATTCTTTGGAGAGATCACTGACAAGGATACAGAATACTGCATTCAAAAAATACAGTTCAGGATATCAATGGTAAAAAGTGGTAAGAAAACAAAGACATACATGCCTAGGATTCGAGGAAAAAAGTTTTATATATACAGCATATGGATACCTGAGAAAATGCTTTTGCCACTGTCTCAGCATCAGCAAGATAAATTTCCTTTTGGCCATCGGAACTTCCATTTTGATCCAAACTTTTAGGTAGTTGAGGGACAGGAGTTGGCAAGGCATGGGGGTTGCTAGCAGCAACCAGAATACAATGTTTATGTCCCTCTAAACTTTGTGTCATATTGGAGCAAATCTATGCCATGTCGCAAGGCGAAATGTTAAAATATATAGACTTATGCAAATTAAAAAGACTGTCAATCAAAGCCCAAATAACAAAGTACACTTTTCACAAGACTTTAATCCATTCTAATGACCACATTATAACCCCTTTTTTAACTCAAGGGCTCCAATATTATATCGAATTTATTTAGGATTTCAAATACACAGTACATAGTCGCATTTCTAAAACATCAGAAAGACGAATTTGCAACATTTCAGCAATTCGGGCCTTTGATAGCAGCAGTTCTGTAGAAGCATAGATACAGAGAACAAAAACTTATTTGCATTCAATCTTCAATGAGTTATAAACGAACTATATGATCTACCAAAAAGAAAACTATAGTAAATGAATGAGAGAAAAAGAGAAGCTGCTTATATTAACAAGAGTAAAAGCATCTTCTCTCAAAAAAAAAGAATAAAAGCATGCACGAACATTAAACAAGAACATGATGCACCATGAAATTATGTATATACAATGTTGCTCCCTCTAAAAATAGATAATTTAGTGTAGATTTCGCATATTCATAACTTTGAGACCAAGAAAGTGACATGTCGTTTCTAGCTCACCTTGTTGAGAAGACATGTGAAATGATGTTACTCTTCATATACATTTTACTAATGCCATTTTCCATATCTTCCTTACAATATGACAAAACAAATTCATATTTTCTTCATCCATGGATGCAATTTACTTTACTGTCACAATGCAAGTTCACATCCCATTTATTCAAGTCACAGAGCTATTTCACAAGAACATGCATGAACCAATGGTGGAGCATGGTCTATTAGGCAACCTGATCAATTGGCATCTAAATATGTTGCAATAAGAGAAGTACCTATCACTGCCATAAGAACTAAATTTCCATTGCTTCTTAAAATATTGAAGCACGTAACAGACTTTTCTCCAAATATACTGCTCTTAGTAGGACGAACCAAATTACTAAGCCAACTCTACACACAAATCTGGTACCATGATAGCGTATAAATTAAAATCCAAACCTAGCCAGAGGTGGAGCACAGTCAACCGGGCGAGCCCATTTGTCATCAGATACAGTGCAATAAGAGAACTTCTAAATCATTCCATTAGAAATAAGTTTTCCCAATCATTTTTTATAATATCGATGTATGCAACAACCTATTTCCAAATGTGGTCCACCATTTGGGCACCAACCTCATGATTAACCCAACCTTATATCTAAATCTCGCCTCACGATTGTCATGTATGTTACGATCCCATCTAATAGTGGCATCAGACTAGAGTCCTCTGGTAAATCATGTATGCAACTAATAATGTCGCAACAATCATGCTGCTCCAGAGGAAATAAGGTCGCAATAATGATGTCACTCCGCAATAACAATGTTACTCCGCAAGGATTCAGAAGGTTTAATAATTTTACAGTAATTTACTCATTGCTTTTGATATTATCTAATTATTCAATGAACTGGTGGCATTAATGATGCTCTCAGGGGTTACGAACCTAAGGACTCTTAACTTTATGTGACAAAAATGCGGTTTCCCGATTTTCCTGATAAGGGTCAAAGCAGGGGAACCCAGGTTGCCTTACCGTTATGCCATCATAGAAGTTAGCGAAGAGTGCCACTCATCCATCATCTTTTACAAAAGAAAAGAAAGGGACCTTTCCATCTCGATTTTTCAGACACAATAAGAGCGCCACACCTATAGCATACTTAACCCATCCAAGAAGTCAACGCAAACAAAGCCTTAAGCTCTAAACCAGTTTTCTTATATGTTCCAGGATTCCTCTAGTGAACCTCTTTGATTCAACTAAAAGACATCGCTACTCCATAGGAAACGAAGAAGATTTAGCTCTTAATTTTCAATTACAAACATGCACATGACAAGACCTATAATATCAAGTCACATCCAAAACACGACTAAGACCACTATCAGATTAATCAAGCTTCAAACATTATAATGAAGATACTTTTGAGATTTAACATATAAGAGATCCATATTTTGGAAATATAAGTTAAAAGAACATTACAAATTTCTCATTTAAAAGGAAAGAAGAGAGAGAGAGAGAGAGTATACCCATAGAGCTTCAGAAAGCCCTTCCCCAATAGCTGCTTCACCAAAACCACCACCAGAAAATGATATAGATGATAACCATCGAAGAAACAAATCCAAATTTCTGGTCCAACCACTTCTCTGTAGCAAGCAATCTGCAATTGAATACAGCAATGATTGGCAGAAACATAAAGGATGAGTTACAATGAAATTTTCATAAAGATAAAGCCAAAAGTGTCCATGTAGATAAGTGTGCTCTGACAGAAATGGCAAAACAATCACATGGTATCTATGACCGGTTAAAAACAGCCCTCAACTGGCCCTTTCCATCTTAAAAGAGAACATTTGAACTGCTAGGCTTTTAAAAACCAATTCAAGTATTAGAGGATTTAACTGAAAAGCTCAGACAAACTGGCTGGGACATGAAGAACAAATCCCATCATAAAGAAAGAACTGGGGAAGAGTGGACCAGCCAGTTCCTGAAGGACCTATCAAACCAGCTGATCAGACTAGTCAGGCCATTTGACGTCTAAGCTAACCAGTTCTTAAGTTTGATTAGTTTATAGACTAAATAGGACTAGTATGGGACTCATTTCTATCCACACTGGCTGATCTTTGGTCATGACTTATCACATTGGTTAAAACAATCTGTCCATGCGAAGGGAAATGCAGGGAAAATGCAGACCAAAACAATCAGGCAGCAAAACCGGAGCCTTTTTTTGTTGGATGTTGCCACTAAACATGAATATTTATAATCTTTTATACAATGTAGCAAAGAAATATCAATCATTGCATATACCATCCAATGTTATAAAAACAGAATACATATTCATAACATATAAAATGGAGCATATAATATATGAATCACATAGCTGACTTGAATTACATAACTGGTTTAAGTCAAAATACTGCAGACATGGCATATCGACATTCCTATTCCAACCAAGCAATAAGATATGCAGCTCATCAAAAGTCCACTGCATGCCCTCTTAAGTGCTCCCATGAGGGAAAATCATTACCATTTTCAACAATTTTATCACCATTTTCAACAATTTTACACAATTCTCGAGAAGTTTATATTAGCATGAAATCCTAGCATATGACAAATTGCATAGGCTACAAAGACAATGTAACCTAGTTAATCTCGAGACTACAGCCCAAGAAAGTGCCCTAAGGCCCCAAAAACCATGTCAGATTACAGATGCTTGAACATTAACAAGACTCTGTGAAATACATTTCTAGCTTTTTGGCCAGAATGGCCTCAGGATTGAATAACAATCAAATGAACCAACTAAAACCCTGATAAATTTGAAGATGCACCAGTAGACAAGGAAAAGGAACTAATGTAGCAGGACCTACTCACAACATTTAGATTGTCCCTCATGACTAGCATGAGAGAAAATAGAGAAGAATACAGTGTCTGCCTTTTAAGCCAGCCGATTTAGAAATAGGTAGAGAATGCTCCACCATCATCCTGAGAAGCAAGACAAAGGAAGCTCGCTGTAAAAGGATCACCCCCATCATCACCAACAACCGCACAAAAGCTAAGCACATCAAATGTACTCTTAAAGAACACGTCAAAATTGAGCATAACGTATTCAGATGATTCCTTGGTCCTAATCAACTATGAAATAGGTCAAATCCCATGCATGAACCCTCCCCAGTGTACCAATGGGTACCTAAAATGTATTGCACATCAATTCCAACTGACATCACAGTGTCCAAGGTCTTCTCATGCCCCCCTCGATATCATCATTTTCTCCTCTTTGAAAGTTCCATGAAAAATGGAAAAAGCAACATAATCTGCACCATTACATGGTCAGACAGAGTACAAGCACCACACCATAATGAAACATGGGAACACTTGAGAGACCCACTCCTATACCAGAAAGAAAAAAAAAGATGGAGCATTCAAAATATAATGTACAGTATCCTAATTTTGGTTACACAATGGACATCTATTCAAAAGTTAGAAGCTGCATTGGTGAAGGTGTTCTCATGAAAGAATGCAAACCTCCAATATTAGCCAAAAGAAGTCGCTACTCAAGGGTTACCTGGTACATCCACACCCTATAGAACGAAACCATTGCCCCAGCCAAACGTAAAAGATAGAAAGATTTATTCAGAAATACCCTTGTTACTCCTGCATTTCCGCTCCTACATCGTAAAGTGTCTCTCAAAATTCATCTTGAGGAAGCTGCAAAGGAGATTACAAGACAAATTGCCCTGGAGTCATCAACCAAGACAAGTATGTAGTGCACAACTAATTCATATTCTTTCTTGTGGGGATGAATCCATAACCCAATCTTAGACGACTTCCTTTCTTCTAATGCCATTTTGAAAGGTAAAGCAATATATGAGCTTAATTCCTTGATAATTAGGTTGAGAGCAAATTAGCCATGAAAAGCACACCAGTTTGAAAGCCACATTATATTAAAACCAATGCAATTTTAAGCATTTAAATAACTAGAAAAAAGGGAAGCACTATGAGCTATTGATAGAATAATTATGGGAAGACTGGTACCACTGTAAGGTCCATGAGAGTAGAACATAATCAAGGCGAATTCAACATTTGCCCCTGGAAGCTTCTGCACTCCGAAAAAAAAAGAAAAAAAAAAACATATAAGCTGAAAAAAGGGATATAGTGCCTAAAAAGAACCACCATTATGCCTGAAAATATCAGAAAGTGAACAACAAAGTACACAGAACAGCCCCATATCACATTACAGTTACTCCAAATTCAGCTTAGAGATCTATAAATCATAAATTCATAATAAATATAGTAAAAGTTCACAATCATCGAAGTCTCATAGGCTCAGTCAAGCAGTATTAATTGTTAAGGCACTAAGTGAAAGTTTTACTACAAGAATATCACATGATGGAAAAAATGTTTCTCAAAAATAGCATATACGAACAACTTATAAACCCACTCAGTTGCCCATTCAAGAATGAAGCAATAAAACCAAAAATACCTTTAGTCATTCCTGCCCCTGTCTTTTCTCGGGATCAAGGATCATGAACAGAGAAACACATGACAAATCTAATCAACAATTTTCAAAATTTTCAGGGGCATGGTCCCCTGATTGCACAACATACATCATAAAAGGTTAACATCAACATTCGCAGCTGTTGCTTAAAAGAACCCAAGGAAAACAATAATTCAAAAAGAGTGATTTATTCTGATAAATGTGTCATTCAGATGACAAAACTATCTTCCACCATTTGTTCATTAGAAATGCAATAAGCTTGCCAATGTATTACTTCATACAGAATATGGGATATGATAGCTCAGATAACCAGGAGAGTGTATAATTTATGACTTTCGTTTTTTTTGAAAGCCAATTTATGAAAGCGTTTTTCAAAATGGTAAAGAACTATATCATTCTATAACAATACATTTTTACTAAATAAGCATCCAGCAACCAAGGGAACCACTAACTCTGTGCTTTCAGTAGAACAAGCATTGCAACCATAACAAGATAACTTATGATTTAAACAACTTACACATGCAAACATTAGGAATTATGCCCCACTTGTTTCATACAAAAGACATATTTGCTTCAAAGCAATAGGTGACATAATAAACACCATAGTGCAATCAGTGACAGGATTAACAGACAATCTAGTGGAATCATCAGACTTAAAAAGTACCTGTCCTGACAAGTCACTTCCATAGAAAACCCTGAGCAAAGACAAATAAACAGTCAAGAATTTAACAAGCGACCACAAAGGATACTACTTAGTGCAAAAGAACTAATACAATACTAAAGCATAACCCACAAAACAAAGCAATTACAGATAGTAATATCATTCACAATAATCATAATCATTGCACACATTTAGAGAACCCATAAAAAAAAATATCATAATAGATGAAGAGCAAAAAAGTTCTCAATAGGGACACACGAAAAATCAAAGACACACAAAGATATATACATAGGCCCTTAAAAAAAAATATGGATCATCAACAGAGACGAGCAAGAAGTTGCTCACCAAGTGCTTGCACGTTTCTCTGGTCCACAATTAAGTGGGCAGTTCAATCTCCATGATTGCGGAGGATGAGCAATTTAAGTTGTAACCCACTTCTAAAATAAATGAATTTCGAGCGCATAAATATTTGGAAATTCAGAGATTAGTATATAATCCTAATCACACAGGCACTTGTTATTATTATTAGTTAGGTCTTGTGCCAAATTCCATGTGCATAAACGCAATGTCTTTCCTCTCATATCATCTCCAACGACAGGTGCTCCCTAAATTAGTCCCCTGAAAGTTTACCAATCCTCACTACGTGCTTCTACATCTAAAAAGAAAGAAATGCTCTAAAAATCTCAATTTAAACGATAGTTTTTGAAATTTGGTAAGGAAAATCTGCCAACAAACATTTCACAAGAATTCAGTACTCAACAAACAAACGGCCAATTCAAATTCCAAGAAAATGGAAACCAAATTCAAAAAATGAGCCATGGGAGAAGGGAATTGCCCCAGGCACCCATTTCATGAAATCAGGTCGTACAGGTTGGTAAAACTAAAGACACCAACGATTAAAGGCGTTTATCTGAAAGAAAGGGGTACTGTAGAGAGAGAAGAGACAGAGAGAGAGGGAGAGAAAACACAGAGAGCAGAGCAGTCACCTGATAATCTTCTCAAGAATTTCAGATTGAATGGAAGGCCAAAATGGACCCATGGCTGCTGTTCCCTCCACAATCACGACCAACTGCTTCTCCGCCATTGTTGTGTTAGAGAGAAAGAGGAGCACAGAAGAGTGTCGGAGAGGGAGAGAGAAAGAGAGGACTCTCAAATGCAGACAAAGCAGTCAGATTATTTAAATTTGCGCTGAGATTTTTTTCTCAACTTTAAATGTCGATAATTTCTGCACTACCCACACCAAATTAAGTTCATGCAGATGCAGTGCATCAGAAAGAATGAGAGAGTAAGAGAGAGAAAGAGAGGGCATGCGCTAGGTGAGAGAGAGAGAAAGAGAGGGCATGCGCTAGGTGAGAGAGAGAGAAAGAGAGGGCATGCGCAATTGGTGAGAGAGAGAGAACGAGAACAAAGCACATATTGAGAGAGTGAAATACTCTTAAGACCCGGATAATCATATTATATATTGAAACTGTTTACTTTCTATACAAGTCGTTTACAATTACTTATAACCATATTACTTATAACCATTTGATATGAAATTTAATAGTTTGGATGTGTCATAAAGTTTAAAAAAAAAAATTTTGAAGTTTAAGCTTGCTCAATGGAATAATTGCAACCATTCAATTTAACTTCCAATAGTCAAGGTTAATGTGACCGTATTAAAGGTAAATAGTATCATTCTATACTTTCTCTTAGCTTGGGGCTATGACCCTAAATTTTGGAGATTAATTTCAATAAAAAATTATTTTCTAATTGTATACTTGAAGCATTTGAAAAACACAATGCCTCAAAATTAAATAGAAACTGTCCAATTTCTAGAGGGTGAGATCTATGGGTTAGAAAATTCAATTATGTTGTGTTAAAAAACTCAAATTTTAATTATTTTTTATTTTTTAAAATAATCATTTAGTGATTTTAAGATAGTTACCAAATTTTCATATTAAAAAAAATCCTAAGACATATGAGTTGGACAAATAGTGAAATATACTACCAAAGAGGTAAAGCATATGTGCCCAATAGAAATAACTTATCGACAGAAGCAAACAAAAGATAGATGTAACTGCAAAAGTAGAAGAAACTTATAATCTTTCCATTTTAATTTGGAATGCGAAATCACAAAATTTAAGATCTACGAAATTTAAGAACTATGTGACCAAAACCAAGTGCCACAAAGGTTAAATCTGGTTGCTAAATATACAACAAGGAGAGGCAAATTTATTAAAAAAAAAACTTTATTTTTGAAATTAAAAAGTAGTCATCTGTATTGCATATTTTACATTCATGTAACGTATTTTATTTTAATTTTATTTGTTCTTGGATTATCTTCCTGAATCTTTCAATTCTCATGTATTATCAACATAGGATATCTAAAATAATGTGTTTTAGGTTCTTCTTGGTCAGTCTTAACTAATTCCTTATTTCTATTCATATTATTACCAAACCTGCATTCTATATATTTATACAACGAGTTACTTATTAAGAACACTCTAGCATGAGAGTATAAAATTGGATCAAGATTCATGAAATAGATATGGCTAAAGTTCTACGCTGGCTACTAACATAACACAACTGTCCTCCTTTCTCCGGTCTCAAGACCGGCATGATTGGCTTGGGACTGGCAATGACAGAGTCAAAAGAAAAAAGATAAAAAGAGATAAGAGACATTTTTTTAAAAAAAAAGTGGGACTTAAGTGTAAAGTTAGTAAAATTGCACGAAACAATTACATCTTATAAAAGGTACATGAATGAAGTCTAATAAACCAAATATAATTGCATTGATATATATCAAAATTTGAACAATGACGCATATTTTCTATAACATGAACATCTACTTTTAAGTTTTGAAGCATAATATGTAAATAATATAGAAAAAAAAAATCTAATGGTAGATATTACTAATATATTGTAGAACTCAAATGTAGACATCTACATGTGCCACGTCCAATAATTGAAAACCATGAAAATTTAGAATAAAAAATGTAAAAAGATTCTAGAACTTGTATTTTTTTTCTAATAGATACAACCTTTTTATTTTAAAAGCTTAATAAATTATAATATATATTGCTGTGCATAAATGTTTCAGAAATTCATTAGTTTTTTGTTTTTTTGGGTAAATAAATTCATTAGTTATAGAAGCATAAAAAATCTAATTCCAATCTATTAGCTTATTTAAATCTATACAATAAAATTAAAAAGATTGATAAAAATTAATATATTTTATTTAAATATTGGTCTTGGAGAGAATGTGAGATCGCCCCAATTACTGAAATATCTAAGTCCCTACCTTAATGATATAATTAAATATAAAGAGTGAAAAAAAGAAAAAGAAAAAAAGAGAGCAAATAAGCATGTTAGAATAAAAACTATGATATATACTAAT